TTCAGGCACAACTGGGAAAATAGCACGATTCCAGCAGAAATTTCCAACCCCAAACACCCTTCCTCCAGAGCAAAAAAGACTCGCAGAAGATTTCATTTGATTAATTTAAAAAGAGCTTTTTCCAGCTGTTTGCAACCACCCTGTAGTAGGCTGCAGGAGCCCACCATGGCCAGGCCGGTGCTGCAAAGCGACGCTGTTGGGACACCTCCCACAATGCTTTCACCAGGCACTGTGTGGGGCATCTTGGGCAAAAGGCACTTTCTGAGGCTAGGAAGCTTTGCTGCTGAATTTTGTGGATGCACAGAACTGTTTAGGTTAGAAAAGACCTTTGAGATCATTGAGTCCAACCACTAACGTAGCGCTGCCAGTTCGACCACTAAACCATGTTCCCAATCACCACACCTACAGGTCCTTTAAATACCTCCAGGGATGGAGAATCCATCACAGCCTGTGCCACTGCTTGACAACCCCTTCAGTGAAGAAATTTTTCCCAATGTCCACTCTAAACCTGCCCTGGCACAACTTGTGGCCATTTCCTCTTGTCCTATTGTTTTTTACTTGGGAGAAAAGACCAACTCCCACCTCCCTACAACCTCTTTTCAGGCAGTTGTAGAGAGCGATGAGGTCTCCCCTCAGCCTCCTCTTCTCCAGGCTGAACAGCCCCAGTTCCCTCAGCTGTTCCTCATCAGGTTCTCCAGATCCTTCCCCAGCTTGCTGCCCTTCCCCGGACCCGCTCCAGCCTCGATGTCTTTCTTACAGCGAGGGGCCCAAAACTGAACACAGGATTTGAGGCACAGCCTCACCAGTGCCAAGCACAGGGGGACAATCACTGCCCTAGTCCTGCCGGCCACACGACTCCTGATTCAGGCCAGGATGCCAACTGGCATTTAATTGCATTGAGCGCTCTACACCTGCAGGAGGCTGGGCTGGGCTGTATTACCTATGGCTGCTGTAGCTTCAGCTGCTCACTGTCCTTCCTTTGTGGCTGCCTGGTGAGTTTTTACCTTATGCTGAGCTTTTGTGGTGTTTTTTCACTTGTTTGTTTTGGGGTGGGGTGGTTTTTTCCCCACATTTCATAGACTCATAGAATGGCCTAGGCTGGAAGGGACCTTAGAGATCATTTTAATCCAGCCTCCCTCTCGACTAGATCATTTGCCCTGTTTGAGTTTGTCTTTGGCTGTAACCATCTTGTAGGTGCGTGTGAAGGCTGTGCGCAGCCCCCGGGGTGGCTGTGGGTCCTGGGGCCGTCACTGCTGGGGGGTTCCTGCCTGTGCAGTGCCTGAGGCGAGCAGATGATTTGGTAACCCATGGCTGCCAGCTCCAGGTCACTGGATGCCTGACCCCCCCTCTTGTCTCCAAGCTGGAAAATGGCAGTGGGGTGCAGGGGGTGAATAGGTGGGTGCTGGCTCTGTGGCCCCGAGGCGCTCGGGGCTGGGAGGGGACTTACGCTGGATGCTGAAGCAGAACTTCTTCTGCTGGTAGGAGATGTAGCTGGTGACGGCCCCGATGAGTGCCATGGCCAGGCCGCTCGCGATGCCGGCGATCGTCCCTGTCTCCGCCACTGTGCCTGTGGGGCACAGAGAGGGTGGGGTGCTGTGCAGTGGGGGCACATGCACCACCCACCCACCCCACCGCGGCCCCGTTGGTACCTACCTCCACCATAGTTGTTGTCGGTGTTGCCCCCATCACCTGCAAGAGACATGAGCCCGTCAGCAGCCCCGCACCCCTCTGCTCCCCCTGCTGCCACGCAGGGCAGCCCGTGAGGGAGCCAGCACACAGGGGAGGGGGGCAGTGTGGCCCCAGGGGCACCCCTGGGTTGCGGGTAAGTGCATGTCCCATGGGGACGTGTCTCTGCCGCCTGGGGCGGCCTGTGGTTCCTTCTCAGAGGAGTCTGAAGCTGCTCCTCATTCCCACCGGGCAGGCCTGAGGAGAGGTCTGGGGTGAGCCTCTGCCCACGTGACCGTTAACCTGCGTGCCACGCCGCTCTTGGTGTAAAGAACGGATAAACAAAACGCTGTCAGACTGTTACACAGCATACTTGTGCCATCACAGAGAGGCAACTGTCTAAGCTCTGTAATGCCAGGGAATCTTCACTTGGCTCAGTACCTGTTTTAAAATCACCTTCCCTGGAGAAACTGGGCTGGGAGGAGAAGCTGCTGGCGCTGGAAGCCGCAGTCCTTACCGAGTCACTTGCATCCTGAATTTACGGAAGGAGGTCAGCATTGTATTAAAGCCTCCGATGCGGTCTGTCCTTGGCGCGGGGATTCATTAAATGTTGATTGGGCTTGTGGTGTTCATCTCTTTACTCAACTGCTTTTAATATTTAATGCTGTGGATCCTCACATATACACAGGCTTATCTGATTGTTGCTGCTTTTCCTCCTTGTTTCAGCTACCGCTGGCTGCATGGTGGAAGGCAAACGAAGGCTTGTGCCTTCTCATGGCAGAGGGGTGGGCATCTGCGTTCAAGGTGGCTGGGGAGGTGTAGGTCCCATCTGCCCCGGTTGCAGCTGGAGCTGCAGAACTTCCACAGGATCAAATTAAGCACTTCCAACTGCTGGTACAATGTACGACCATGGAGACCAAAAACTACATGTTCCTCTGGCCCCACAGCTGGGGCCCCCTTTCCCCATGCAGGTGCTGCTCTGTGCTAGGTGGTTTCTAGGAGTCTGGCTGATGGGGTGATTACTGCCCAAGCTACAACTGCTATAGCAAGTAACTGTACACAGGTCATCACTTACCTTTCTTCTTGTCCGGGCTGTAGCCACCGTCCACAATGCTGGCCAGGTCATCGTCTGAAAAATCTTTAAAAATAACAGGAACAAGGGGTGGTTGGTGCCTGAAGGGAGACATGGCCCCACTGGGAGGTAGTGGCTATGGGCCTCTCATGGCAGCTTGCCCCCTCAAATGCAGCTTTTGGGGGATTCTGGCTGGGGGATCACCTGCGAGCATCACACACTCAGGGTGGAACTGACCTCCTGCAAACCCCTGCTCCTGGGGAAATGTTTCTCTGCTGGGCTGCTCTATTCATTTGACTATTTTTGCTGAAACTCCTCAGCTTCAGCTACTGCGCACCAGAGCAGTGGTTCACGTACCCTTTTAAACCGGTGCCTCCCAGTCAGCCAGCTACTCTATCCCCAGCCAGAACAGGGACTGGTCAACAAGCAGTTCTGCTTCTCTCACAATTACCAGATGTTAACAAAATATTCAACCCCAAATTACTTTAAGCTCATAAAAGAGGCAGTAATTGACTTTAGGTCTAGCTTGAAGGAAATACCCCCGAAAGTTTAAATACTACTGTATTATCTCTTTTTTAACTGAAATGACTGATGTATTTAGTAGTTCATTAAATATTTTGGCTGCTCAGCCTAGGTGGGAAGTGGAGGAGGGAGGAAGAAGCGGTTGGTGTGTGCAGTGGCCGTGCTGCCAGGGACCAGCGAGCCTCACCCTGCCCGGTGCCCTGCAGGCAAGGACTTGACTCTCCTCCCTCCTGGAGGGACAGAGCAGCTCCAGTGCAAGAGCTGAGCATCAGCACATCTGGGGATGGGTGAGAAAGTTCTCTTGGACGTGGTTGTAGTGGGAAGGTTTAATTCATGCAGGATAGGCACGGAGAAACATAGTCTGAGAACCAGCAGCGGAATGAGTGGAGCTGTTGAACCTCTTGGCTCTGGTCCCAAAGGGAATCTCAGGGTGCAGCAAAAGGTGTGATGGGAGAAGAGACCCAACACCAAGACAGCAGAAGGTTCCTTCTCTGAAGCCATTCCTTGGGGAGGGTTACCTTTGCCTTGGCAGTCTGGAAGAGACTGCTTTATTCAACAGCTTACCACAAAAAACAGATTTACGGGCTTAGTAATGAGTGTAAAAAGAAAAAAAAACCCAAACAACCAAACCCAAAAACCTGACTATGCCAGAACCTGGAGAGGTCCCAGGCAGTCCAGGGTGCAGCAATGCCGGGGGAACGTGTGTGCTGGTTTGTGACCGGTGCCACATTCCAGCTGTTCAACACCTCAACCTTTTCTGCAGGAGTCAGAAACCTCAACAAGCCCAGAGTATCGAAGTGCAGACAAGTCACCTAGTTAATACAATCTAGTAAAATATCTGACTATTAATTACATGTGTGAGAGGGGTATACCGCCATCTCGACATCAATAAACTAGCTGAGCAAGGTCTGTTTTCTGGCTCAAGTGCTCAAGGGAACAATCCTCATAGACAAATGATTCATTCACCAGAGTATTTTAAAGATGGGAAAAAAAAGAAAAAAATCTCCCAGCCCATAGCATATGTTATGCCAGGACTAAAGCCTGCTCTAGATTTACATCTTGGCAATGACTGTGAACCCCGACAGCACATGCCCTCGGTTAAAGGGCTGTCAGGTACAGAGACAAGGGGGAACTTACCATGATCACCGCAATTTAATGGGGCAGAAGATGCCCCGAGAAAGAAACCTGCCGACAGGCAACAGGTCGTTAGGCAGAGCCCCTCTCTGCCAAGGACCGCCGAGGTGGGGGCTCCTTCCCTCCCCACGGCCTGTGGAAACATCCCGGCTCCGTGGCGCAGGCAGGGCAAGGGCAGCTGGGGGCTGGCCGTGGGCACGAGCCTCCAGCAGGGCAGAGTCTCTGCTTCTCCTTACCCCGTTGCTTGGCAGGGAGGGTGTCCGGCAGTGAGAGGGGTGGGGGAGGATCTCTGGCAGGTCCCGGGGGGACAGCGTGGCTGGTGGCAAGCAGGATGGAGAGGAGATGTCAACATACCTTCACCTTGCCTTATGCCCGGCCTCCCAGGATCCTTCCTATCGTTCTTATCATCAAGGGCATCAGCCAAGTCAAAACCCATAGGATCCTCTGCTAGAAAACAACACGGGGGTTAGTGGTGCTGGCCACAGGCTGGGGAGCTCTTAAATTAATTAATCAATCAAGGAAATAGGCTTTGCCAGGGAAAAGTGCTGGTGAAAGAGATGAAGCCCCAAACACAAGCATCTCCCGCAGTGGATCTTCCAAACCCATCGTGTTTTGTGTCCTCGTGCTGCTGTGCTGAGAAACGTCATGTTCTTCCCACAGAAACTGTCTCGTGCTATGGCTCAAGCAGCCAGATAAATCAAGCCAGGTAGAAAAGGTGAGAGCCAAGCAGGCACTCCCAAGGATCCAGCTGCTGGAGGGGACACTGCTGTGCTGGCTGGAACAGCCTGTGGCTTGATTGCTTTGCGTTACTTTCTGCCGTAAACTGCCTCACTGGTACCCTGAGCAGCCTGGCTCTGGCAGAGCTGCTACTGCCTTTGCTAAACAGCAGCTAAAACCGTGGCATGGAGCCAGCCTGAGCTCCTCAGCCCTCCTGCCACCTTGCACCTTAGCTTATTCTGATCCAAAACTGTTGTTTGTTGGGTTTTTTTCAATTTCTTTTTTTAAGCCTGGCAGCACCTTTTGCCAAAGCTCTGCCTGAGCAGGCAGGCTGACAGGGTGCTCTGAGCCTGTGGGACGGGTGTGCTGGTGCAGCCCGGCATGGCTGAGCTGTGCTGCACCGTGCCCGGGAGGACAGCTACCTGCAGCCTTAAAATAGGCAGGGAGTGGTCCAGGAGCCATTAAAAGACCACCAAGAAAGTGCAGGGTAACACCGAGATATCCCATTCACCATGTGGATTTTATTTAACTTCCTATGTGTGAACAAGCAGACTAGACGCTGGAAATACCGGGGCGAGGGGCAGCGCCGCTGTCACGGCCCATCCCGAAGCCTCTGCCTGTGCCAGGGGGGCAGGGAGCGCGTGCTCACCTGGGAGAGGCTTGCGGGGAGCCCTCGTAGTTTTTGGCTGCTTGGTTGTGGTGGTGCGGATGACATCCCAAAAGTTGTTGTCTGAAGGTAGCAGAGGGAGCGGGAGGGAGAGAAAAAAGAGACCAAAAATGACATTACCTTCTGGAAGGTGCCATTGGGACAAGTGTTGGGAAGGAGACTGGGGCTGTGCTGGGCTGCTTCAGGGCTCTGGTCTCTCCACAGCTTCAGCTGCCCCTGACACCAGGGGCACCCCCTGCCTATTGGTGCCCCGGGGATGCTCGAGCCCTCGGTGTCAGTGGCAGGCACATTTGTGGAGATCCCCTGTGTCAGGGAACGTGTGAAGGGGGCTTGAATTTGAGAAGGTGCCAAGCAGGGCTTCCACAAAAACCTCCCCAAACCTGTTGCCAGCGAAACGCACACTACCAACCGCTCAGGAGGGCTTTGGTATCATGAGGACAGCACCATGCCCAACCCATGGTACGCAGGAGCAGGACCACGGACCGTCGAAAATACACTTAAGGATGCACTACTTCATCAGTGAAATCTCCCACCAAACAACAGCTAATGGCTCCAGCCTGGTTCAAATTTTTTACAAATATGAAGCCTCCTGCTATGGCTCGGGCAGGGGTGCAGGTGTAGCAATGGAGAGAGGATGGCAAAATGCTGGTGCATCTCCTGGGAGGTCAACGAGAGCCTGGAGCATCTTCTCTGCCACGTCTGCTACAACAGCGGAGCAGGAGGAGGTGGTCACCAAAACCTGCTGGAGCTCATCTGTCAACACCTAATCCCTGGCTCCTGGATACCTCAGGGAGTGTTTTTCCCTGTCCAGAGCCCCAGAAGTGAGCACACACGCACCCTCCCAGGCGTGCTGGGAGCTCTGCAGTACCTGGCTTCCCTGGCTTGGGGAAGGGCTTCGGAGTCGGCTTGGCTGGTTTGGTCGTAGTCTCCAGAGGGGTGTCAAAGTAATCAGCCAAATCAAAGCCTGTTGCAGGAGAGAAGGGTTTGTTAGAACCCCCGTTGTTTGTGGGGGACAGTGCCAAGTTTTCAGCTCTGTGGGTGCTGTGCAAGCGACACTGCACCATTGCCGAAGGCCACCACGTCAGCACGGAGCTGGAAAGGACGTCCAGCTGCTCTGCTGCTCAAGCCCAGACGTATTGCAGAGCCTTCACGTCATCGTTTAATTCTTCCCAGCTGAGCTATGGCTGCTACCACCCAGCCCAAGCAACCCCAAAATATGCATTTTGAGGGAGACCCACCAGTGTCCTGTGGCATGTCCTGAGAGATGGTTCAGAGGAGAATGAGCTGGTGGCTGGGACCCACTCCCTGCATGGCCGCTCGTGAGTGACCCTGGGCAGGGAGCGTGCATGGGAGAGGGGCCAGGGCACAGGAACCCGCTGTGGGAGCCCCTTGGTGCCACCACTCATCCGAAAAGCACTCCCCAGAGAAGAAGAAACTCACCAAGACGAAGCCTCGGCCTCAGCATGCATCCATTTCCCAGGGAGAGTTTATTGGATCAAACAGCCTCTGGTTTGGGCTGCGATCCAAAAGCTAAAGCCTTGCATGTGCTCCTGGCACTCAGCTTTTCTTGTCCCTAGCAAAGACGACTGTGGCCAAGGAGCCGGACAGCCAGATTTGCTTAAAATTGTGCCAAGATCCTTATGCAGGGGCAAGTGGCTGCACTTCCGAGCGCTCCCCCGCTGCAGTCTATTTTAGGCTCCTCTGGCAGGGTTGAGCAACCCTCAGTTCTTGTGACCGTGCTATATTTAAGTAGGTATGTTTGGCCAGAACGGAGCCAGAGGAGCTGCCAGCAAGGAAACTCTGGTGAATTTAAGGGAGCTTGCTCAGTGGGGCAGATGCTGTGGAGCCAGACACCCAGCACATCTGACTGGCACAAACAGTCAGAGAGACATTTTTCCCTCGATGAGAAAATGCCACCAGGCTGGGCCTTTCTGTGGAGACTGGAGACATCTTGGAGTGAAAAAAGAAAGAAGTAACATATCCTCTGGGCTCCCTCCTGCAAGGAAAGCCAGCAGGTGCCACGCAGCCAGAAACAAAAGCCCTTGTGTAGCTGAGCAGTGATTTGTGTCTCTTCCATTAGGATAGTGCAAAGTGTGCGAAATTCAGCCTCGGCCGTAAATGCTCCACTGCCAGTCACTTTCAGCGTGGACAGAAATATCAATATTCCATTTACTCTGGCCGAACAGTGTGCATGTATGCACACCAGCACCAGCTTTCTTAGGGGCAAGCAGAGTGTCCCAAAGGCAGCATCACCCAGCAGCGTATGCACGCAGCCCGCGGGGATGCTCGCACGGTTCCAACCCCCATGGGAAGCAAACCCCGTGCTGTCCTTAAATGATACTCATGCAAGAAGATCTCACCTGTCCCACCTGTCCCACCTGCCGGCTTTCTGGGGCCCTTGGGAGTGGCTGTGACAAAACAAACAGGGAGGAAAACATTAGTCATGGGCATCACTAAAAATGTCTCACTTCTGGCTTGAGAATAAATGGTGACGATTTCACTACAAGCGTTCCAGTTGACCATCACTGGTCTGAATTTGTAAGCACAGAACTCAAGAGTCACAAAATGGCCCCACACACAGAGTGGGCACTGCCAGTGCAAGAGGGTGAGTGGGTGCAGCTCCACGCAGGATAGAGCCCCTGCCACTGCCTTCGCACAGGTCAGCAACCCAGTAAGAAACCACTCCAAATTAAAGCTCCTGGAGACAGCAGCAAACAGAGCAAGGGCAGATACTGTACAGACCAGCGTGAGAAACGAGTTAGCTGCGGTTGTTTTGCAGTCCCGTGCCTGGTCGGTCAGTGAAATGACAGATAATTTCCAGTGCTGCATTATGCACAGGAGGTTCCCTGTCAGCTGGAGGAATTTTGGTGACACCTCAGTGCTCAGATGCCAGCTCCTCTGGCCGCTCTCGGGCTAAAACAAGCTACAGCCAGCCTCTGGGGGGGTTGATTATTTATTTTCTTTACCTCCTGTAAACTGCTATCTATTAATAGTGGCTAACATTACCAAGTATATAAATAAATTATGAGCAACAGTTGTGGCGGCTCTATTCCCATTAATTTCCACTTCTGCCTCTTGAATACCCGAGTGCTTGTGCTGAGCTTCATTTCCAGTGTGCCCGTAAGGTTTGCTGTGACCTGACTCCAGACCCTTCGCTTGCTTTTTAGTCCAGGGGGGATGCGATGAATCCAGAGTGGGAGGCAGCAGCTCTTCCCTCATGCCTGTGACCATTCTGATACCCCACGGTCTATCCTATCCTCCTCTTGCTGAACTGCAGGAACGATGCACAAAGCATCTTGGTCCTTTATTCCACGTAAATTCCCACGTAACACAGCACAAGTGTCCATGTGTTGTTAGACTATAAGGTAAAAGGTTTAAAATCCTGTTATAGCTTTCACTGAAATACTTGTAGGTATATTTTGTGTGATCCCAGAGACTGGGATTGCTTGCAGAGCACTCCCCACTGCCACCTGGCCGGGTGTGTGGGGTCTGGGGACAGTCACCACGAACTGCGTGGGGAGGGGTGGGCAGCGGGAGGTCCTGGCATGGGCATCTGCAATTTCACCAGAGCATCTCCGCCACCAGGCAGCAAAGGGGAGCTGGTGATGTGTTTGGGAGCAGCCCAGCCTTGGGCTCAGCCCTTGGCGCTGTGGGGCAGCGTGTGACACGCTCTGGGGAGGGAGACGAGCTTCCTCCCATCAGCTGCTGCCCTGGCAGCTACCTTATTTCTTTTTGGGTGTAAAATGAGAGCTGCTCCTCTGGATTTCCTCCACCCCAGGGAGGTGCAAATCTCCTGCCAGCTTCCTGACCTCGCTGCTGTTTCTGCCAGGCTTGAGGCTGAGCTCTGCCAGGCCCTGCTGCCCCTCAGCGACATAGCCTGGCCCTAATTTATACCGAAAAAAAAAATTTCAAACCCAAATATTAAATGTCAGCAGCAAGGCACACCCTTTAGAAATGAGTTTCCTTTGACTGAGAAGTTACACTTAAAATTAAGCAAAGCAGCACCTCAAGATGCCATTTGCTTTCCGCTAGCAGTGGGACCAGGGAAGGACCCAGCCAGGCTCAGCGGGTTGCCCTCACCAGCTGGAGAAGGCCAGTGGTTAATGCGTTACCTTCCAGGCAAGCAGGGTCCTGTCTGATGTAGGTGTTACTAACCAATGCAAGGAAGCCAAAAATGCACGTTCAGCGTCACTGCTACATCAGAGCACTGCTGTGTCTCTGTGGTTTGGCCACAGGAATCAGAGAGTGAAGGGCACATGGTCAGCAACCAGCTTCTCCAGGTCTGTCCCCAGTCCCACCTGTTGGCAAGCCCGGACACTGCAGAGGTGATGAGGCAGCCCACATCCTCCACCACCCTCCCACTGGCATCAGATCCCAAAGAATAAATTGCATCCATTGAATTCTGTTTGTTTTCCCCTCCTTAAAAGAATGAATAAATAAATGTGACTTACGTCGCTTGGTGCTGATGTCAAGCAGGGCATCTTCTAGGTTGAAGCCATCTGAGTCATCCCCATGACCTGGAGACAAAGAATTGGCACTACTGGTTGTACTCACTCCGCACAAAGTAAACGGCCTTTAAGCATGGTGTGACTAGACTTGTTTGCTCAAATTGCTTTAGTTTTTAGAGGGCATTCTTGCTTTTTCCAAGCCTGACCCATCATCAGTGATGAGGAAGACATCAGCCTTCTCTGAGTGGTGTGACTGTTAAATTGCAGAGCAGTCATCTCTGGATTTTCCATTTGTCTGCCCTAATGGCTGTCGTATAAAAACACATACTATGCTTAAATTTGTCAAGGAGAGCCTACCAATTCATCTCTCAAGCTGCCACTCATCTGTGCCTGTGCTCACGATTTTCTGTTTGCTAAACACCATAAAAACACTGGGACAGTGCAAACGAATCCAGTGGAAAACCTAAAAAGCCCTGTGCACCTCTTCTTCACGAATGCCTTCTGACATCAAAGGCTTCGTATGAAAACGCTGCTGCTGCTGGCCGCCAAGCACAACTTAGCATTTCAGAGACCACCTGCATCATTCTGCCTCGGTAATGCAAACCAGGACCAAACTCCCATCCCAGGGACACACCTGGCAGGCACAGGCAGACTTTTTTGTTAGAAATGCCTCACCACAACTCCAGTCACTTTATAATATCCCACGGATAACTCGGTGCTACGCCGTGTTCTCTTGTGATAGGGCCGGCTAATCCCCCCTTTCTCCGTCTTTTTTTTTTGCATAGTGTTAATTACTGTTGACTTACCCTAGTTCTGAATGTATTTGTCTTGATAAATTCATGCTTTTACATCTCAGAGCATGCTGAGTAATTAATATCCTTTGGGTTTGCTAAGTACTGCAGCACTGCAAGAGAACATTAAAATGGCTTTCCTCTTATTCCTACTGCTAAATGGATTTAGCTATTGCCACCTGAGCTCCAGTGTGCTTCATGAATAAATTTAAAGCTTTACTGACAAGGACAATAACAACGGGAAGGCACCAGTCCATCAGAAAGCAGGTATCAGCATTTCGGTGAAAAACTTCTACCGAGAGTGGTCACTAAGTACTGCAACACCTCCAGCTCCGGTTTCACTTACTCGCACATCACATCTCGTTTCATTTGCAGTCTATTTAAATGTACGCTCAGGAAACCTGAGGGTGATTTAAATGCAGAGTCTATAGCTGGAAAGTTGCTACAGGCTTCTCTCCCCGGGCAAAGAGCTCAGCATTAATCTGAGGGAAGGGGGAAGGAACACGTCCCAGCCCATGGCTGCGTTTCTCCTCGAGATGAAGGATGCCAATGCTTCCCCCCTCAAGCCCGGAGGAGCGGCCGGCAGCGGGTGAAGCCCCATTACAGGTGGGAAATGTGCAGAGCGAGGCTTGTGGGCGAGCCCTGGCTTAGCATCGTGCTGTGGCAGGGCTGTGCTCGGTACCCCCTGCCTCCCCGCACGCCCCTCCGCTCCCTTGCCAAAATATCTGCCTCCTGAGCCTTGTTGCCGGCGAAGTATTGGCACTGTGAGACAGGTGATGCTCTCCTGCTGCAACAGGCTGGGGGGAGGCACAGGATTATTAAGCAGTCTGTTGGTGCAAAGGAGGAAAGTAAGGAATGTGCAGGAGCATCCATGGCGCTGAAAAAATCCACTTGCCCAGCTCCGGCCCTTGCACAGAGTGCTGCCAAACCACCAGTATGTCCCTGCTGACACCCCACTAGTTCCCTACTGCTGTGGCCAACTGTCCCAAGCTTGCTAACTCCGACTATTTCATACGGGCTCCCTTGCCCTCAGCCTTTACTGAATTTTCAGGAAGCAGCGGGGCTCTGTCACTCTTATCTAGTCTAAACTGTGTCTAAAAAGGGAAGAAGGGGAAAACCACGGTGTGTCTCTGACAGGATGAGCAGTGCTACAAACCTGACTGGGGGACGTTTCCTTTCAGTTCCCACTGCCTCTGCAGCAGGCAAGGCGAGCTGGCAGGAGGGAGATTGTGGCGGCACCAAGACTCGCATTGGTATGCTGGGAGCCTTCTCTTCCCTCTTCCCCCACTCCCTCTGCTCTCTGTGATTAAATAAATGTTAAGGGCACTGATTTGCTGCACACTGAGCCCTGCCGCCAGCGCATCCTCCTTGCGCTTCACCTTTGATGTAGGAGCCCAAATATAAAGTGAGGGAGGCGCCAGTGGCCGTGGGGGGGCATGCAGCTCGCCCGTTCTTCTGCTGAAGGGCTCTGGGGGTCGTGGGGCAGCATGGAGATGCCCCCCTCCTCTGCTGTCCTGAAAAATGGGGTCCCCCCTGCCTCATTTTGGGGGCTCACCGGACCCACCAGTTGAGCAGCACTTACACCCCCTTGGGCTTGGCGACAGCTCCCTTTGGCATCTCTCCCTGCAGGACAAGAGGAAGGTGCCACTTCCAAAACCTTTCCCAAGAGCCAGCTGGCACACAAGTGGGTCCAGGGGGAATGAGAGGTGCTCAGGGCCCTCCATCCTCACCAGGCTGATGTGAAACCGCAACCGCTAACGCGTGCGTCCCGGAGGAATCCTCGCCGGTGGAGAGAGGCGCGCCCACAGCCCACGTGAAGGTTAGGAACACTGCCGACACGCTGAACCACCCGGTGAAACCTGCAGCTGGGAGCTGCAGCGCTTGGCACAGCCCACTTCCCAGGGCTTTCCCACCGCTGCCCACGTCAAACCGAGATCCTTTTCTAGGGCAATTTAAACCCAGGAATCCCCCAGGCGTTGGCAAGGATTAATAATAGATTGCGAGTTAATTGAAGCTGACAACATCTTTATTTCATGCAAAGGGTGTTATAGAAACGTATTACACCTTTTATGGATCAATAACCAAGTGCGGCTGTCAAAGGCATGCAAACTTGCCTGCTCGCTCCAACAGATAAGAGCTGAACGCTCTCCTCCTTGTTCTTTTATTCACTTATTAAGCAGTAACAAACCCAGCACTTCCCAGCCAGATGCTGAAAACCCAACGAGCACTTGGTATATGTATTGCCCTTGCACACACAGTTTTTCGGGAGGCAGAGCTGCTGTTCCCTGACCTGTCTCATGCAAATCCCTTTGCTCCTTGGGTTCGGGTCCTGCTTTGTGATCCCTGGAGGAGAGGGTCTCCCAAGCTCCCCAAGGCCCGCTCGGTCCCCATGTGTTGCCAGGTCTAGTCAAGAGGTGGCGTCCCTGCCCAAAACCGGGAGGTTGGACTAGATGATCTCTAAGGTCCCTTCCAGCCTAGGCCATTTTATGATTCTATGATTCTATGATTCTATGAAAGCCCATCCTCTAATGGGAACCCATGCACAATACTGAGTATCTTTATATTTACACTCTCTGGGAGAAGCTGGGGCATGTTCCTACATACTCGAGCTCACAAGAAGCCTGCTGCTGAGTTGCAGAGGTGTTTGTCCGTACTGCACTCCCAGCCACCGGGCTTGTGTGTGCCCTGATGTCCCTCTCCCGAGGACGCACCCATGCTGCCTGCAACCTGTTGCAGGACTCTAAACCCACTGGTAACGCAAAATCATCCTCTGCTGGTTGAAAGGTTTTGGGGAGCAATACAAGATGCTTGCTGGCATTTATGACAGCTGGGGTGCTGCAGGTCTACTAAAGCACAGGGGGGAGAACGGGCAAACGAGACGTGGTTTCTGTATTTTATTTCAATATGACAATCAAAAGAAACCGAGCCAGGACATCTCGTGGTACCTAATATGAACCCCCCAACGTCAGAGTGGGGAGGTGGGGGGACCCCAAGGCTGCAGTTGTGCCGGGAAGAGGCTGTAAAACATAGGTGAGAGTCATGGCTGAGCTGGCGCCGCACGCTCCCCCACCTCTCGATGAGTCCCCTCGCCTTGCCGGGGGTATTTTTAATCACAGCTAGCTGCTCTTTGAAGGTAGAAGGGGTTTGCGCCTTAATGTATTCTCTCCTCATTATTTTCTCTATCAGGCAGCTCAAAGGCGCAATTGTACTCGTCAGCTTTTTAGTTTTTACAATTATATGTATATATTCTAATTAAGCCCCACTGTTTGACAAAGCTTGAATTACAGTATCATAATTCACACCCAATATATTGCTAGGCTGTCTGCAGCACTCGGAGTGAGGTGTATGCCATTTTTAGTGCCAGCCCACGGATCTTTTTGTGCAATATATGTGTGTTTAGCTTCCCTGGGAATTGAAAGCCCACGACGGTACGTGATTGACAGCCCAGGAGATTACAGGAGAATGCAAAACAGGTACAAGGGCAACAGAAAGTAATTCAAACTGCTTGAGTTCTATGCGTCTACCTCAGGAGCGATGCAGTGGGCAGACGGTGGGAGAGCAGGAGGAGACCGTGTGCTGAGGTAACTGAAAGCACCTGGGTCTCCCCATTGATCAACCTCATCTTTTTGGCTCTGAGTTACGGCGACGGCACATGGAGATGGCTCCCTGTGCAGGGCACCCATGGCTGCACTGGCACCTCTGGGCAGGGCTCTGGGGCTAGAGATTTTTTGGGTGCAGGGCTGTGTGGCGTTGTTGATGCTTGACTGCGTCCTTGTGGTGGCATTCCAGCAAAGATGCAGCCCCAAAGGTCTGTGGGGATCAAAAGGCTGCTCCTCCGTGGGTACAGGGCTGCTGGGCTGCTTCTGGCAGCACCAGGGGGTCCCCAGGGACCTCTCTTGGAGCAGATGATGGCACGTCACCACTGGCCAGAGCAGCGACCTGCTCAGCACAGGTCAGATCTCCAGACCCGCCAGTGCTCTCCACCACCGCTGCCTGAGTGCCAGCGCCAGCCGCCTGCCAAACACGTGGCAAGTTTACTTGCAAGTGCCTCACTGCTTGCAAATCTCAAGTTCTTGCTGACTACTAAGACCTGAGCAAAGTTCTATGCACACAGGGAGAGCAGAGCTCCTCAAAGCTGGGGTGTTACCAATGGTGTTTGGGAGCAGCACTGGGTACCAGGCAGCTAAGAACAGCCTCAGAGCAGCTGGACTTGCTCTCCAGAGACAGGGCCAGGCTGCCTCCTGAGCACAGACCTCCTCCTGAAGTCAGCTCTGCTTT